CTAACTCAGCGACACGGGCGGATACAGGTCAATCATTCAAATATAGTGAAACTAGCAACGGATTGATTACGTTCTATGAACGAACTACCTAGACACTACATATAGTTTTAACACTACTCCTGTAGGATAGTTATACTTAACAACGAATAGAAAAATATGGTATATATTATTAGCTTCTAGCTTTACGTCTATATTCAAATATGAAATGGAGATGTGGTATGACTGCCAATGAAACAACTATGTATACAAATGAGCCAATCATGTAACAATTGTACTGGTCACCATGCGGCTTTCGAAAGGGAACAACAGACATACATAAGCTATAGTTGGCCCCGTATGTTAACAAATATGTTTGTTGATTGTTTTCTCTTTATTCAACGGTTCTAAGTTTATCACACACCTATTATCACTTTAGTTATAAATGTGAGAAAATGGAGATTTAGTTCATTGAGACAGCATGCAACCCGAGACACAATAGAAAACCTATAGGTTGCAATTCTGTAAGTATAGACAATGCAGTTTCCAATAGGAACTTCCTTTGCGCCTAAAGCTGTGCCACTTTAACTATATGAAGTTTCGTGAAAAATTACATTCCAGAACGGAAAAATGCTATGCACTACTATTTTATTCAAAGGTCAAATTATAGGGCTGTGCGGCATATTTTCAACACTTATATGCCCTTAACTTCTAAGAGTTTAAACTTATACTAAAATTCTATACTACCCCTACCTCCACTTTTGGACCTCATAAAATTTAAATTTTAGGCGCTACCATGTTATTCTATACTGGTAACATTCCAAAGTTATGTCTCTATGAGATGAAATACAGAGATCATATCTGGGAACCAGTACGTTAAAAAATTAACATATCTAAGAATATTATATATCTCCCCAAAAGAGGCGTGGCTTGTGAAACAGCTGTTTTTACAACTATAAAGGTCAACATACATAGCCTACATAATACAAATTAACAATTTACCCTTATCCAAATGCCTTGAATTTCCTTCATGTATTCTTCGCCCAATGAAAATTCGTCCACACTAGTAAACCAACCTGTTTTCATTGCAATTTTAATTTTCCCTCCCGACACAGTGAGTTCTGTTTCAGGTGAAACTTTTGTTGCAACTTTTCTTAGTATTGCATTAACCCCTGAAAGGAATGTTAAAATATTCTAAAAATCTGAAAATTGGAGAGTTCTTTTTTTTTTTAACTAATTACATAAATTCTATGTGTTTATTTCGTACTATGTTTTGTTATTGTCATCATTTGTTGCTGTTGATGTTGTTGTTCGTTTGTCAGCTTGTTTGTTTGTTATGACACGGGTTATGTTCTTCTCATATATTTCATGACGGTATAATACTAAACCCCTAACAGGAGGGATTATGCCTGATATTCATATGATGAAGACATAATCTTTCAATCAGTTTAATTGAGGTCTGGAGCTGGCATGTCAGTAACTGCTAGTAATCTGTTGTTATTTATGTATTGTTGTCATTTTGTTTATTTTCTTTTGTTTCACATTCTGACATCGGACTCGGACTTCTCTTATACTGAGTTTTACTGTGCGTACTGTTGTACGTTTGGTTTTTTTCTACATTGGCTAGAGGTATAGGGGGAGGGTTGAGATCTCAAAACACATGTTTAACCCCGCCGCATTTTTGCGCCTGTCCCAAGTCAGAAGCCTCTGGCCTTTGTTAGTCTTGTAGCATTTTTAATTTTAGTTTCCTGTGTATAATTTGGAGTTTAGTATGACGTCCATTATCACTGAACTAGTATACATATTTGTTTAGGGGCCAGCTGAAGGACGCCTCCGGGTGCGGGAGTTTCTCGCTGCATTGAAGACCCATTGGTGGTCTTCGGCTGTTGTCTGCTCTATGGTCGGGTTGTTGTCTCTTTGACACATTCCCCATTTCCATTCTCAATTTTATTGATTATTTTTTTTCTTTCTTTATGTTACAAATTTTTGTATTTTAATTGTTGTAAAAAGCTTAAAAATATTATAAAGTTACACAAACTTTACGTTGTCATAATTCTCTTCTACCTTGTGAAACTCTCGATTCTCTTTTTTACTGATTGTTGGATGATTTAGCCGTCCATATTCTTGTTCTATCTGAATCATTTTTACTTGTTTAATTTCGAATATTATTCATTAATTTAGTTTATAATTTAAAGCAAGACTTAAATGTCTCCTTTGTACGGAGCCCCTTAAGTGCCAATGATGAAATGTATACTATTTGTGTGCGCGACTTTAAATCTTGTGCGCACAACTTTAAATCTTGTGCACACTACTTTAAATCTTGTGCGCACAACTTTTTTAAACTTGTGCGCACAACTTTTTTAGAATTGTGTGCATAACTTAAAATCTTGTGCGCACATCTTCAAAACTTGTGCGCACAACTTTAAAAAGAGGGGGAGGGGTCACACATTTTCCACAAAAGTTAAAAGGGGGCTTTAATTTGTTCTGGTCATTGAATATATTTTGCCGCCCCCTGGAGATAAGTTATGTTTGGTATCTAAATAAATAAAAATAACATATTATACCCCGTCTTAAATTCAATCACAGCGCTCCTAAGTTGAATCCTTCACCTGACTTGGGTACACAAAACGCAAACATAAAGCTTTGAAAACTTTTTCCATACATTGCAACTAGGAACACTAAATACCGGAACAAATTTAGGTATAGGAAACAATCAATTGCTATAAATACCTGGTCTTTCTTTGCACCAGAATATCAGAACTGTATTTTTAAACACTTTAGATATTGTCATTTTCAAATTACAAACATATCCACACAAGATTCAAAGTTGTGTTCTATTAAGATAAAAAGTTGTGATCACAAAATTTAAAGTTGTGCGCACAAGTTTAAAAAAGTTGTGCGCTCAAGATTTAAAGTTGTGCGCACAAGTTTCAAAACGTTGTGCTCTCAAGTTTAAAAGTTGTGCGCACACGATTAAAATTTGTGCGCACAAGATTTAAAGTCGCCCGCACAAATACTTTTGTTTACATGCAATTAAAACAAATTGGCCATTTCGTTCCAGAATTACGGAATTTACCTATTAGACTAATGCGATTTTTGACATATAGACCTTCATTAGATTGTCTGGATTGATTTCTTCAAAACCTTTTTATTATTGTTGAGTTTGATTAAAGGAAGCTCCCTTTAATTTTGTTTAATGTTCGTGCTTGTCTCTCCAATGCTACGTTAATTTCATTTAATAGTGAGAATTATATAAAATTTTCACATGCACCATACATTTGTGATTATAGCACAGTGTTCAATTCTAAAAAAAAAAACCCATGTTTATATGTCGAAGGGTTTCCCCATGCATGTTTTTCTGCAGAGTTATTTTATTTGCTTCTGATTAAATTAATTCTAAACTAGTTTCACATTTTATTTTGTCAACAATTTCAATCTGCCCAATAAGGGCGTATCATGCGCTCTTGGTCCACTGTGTATTACTTGTGCTTTTGTTGTTTATCGTTATCATAGGTACTTGGGGACAGGACATTTTTTCTATCCCTCCCCTTTTTACAAAATTCGTTATTTTTTTGTTTTCTATTATTTTCAATTATTTCCGCGTTTTCTGTTTTTATTTATATGAACATAAACATAATAGAAATAACTTGTATTTGCTTTTTACCATCAATTCCAAGTTTACTATCAACAGCGGTCACTGATATATATCATAACGAATTTTGGAAAAAAAGGGGGAGGGCTAAAAAAAAGTTGTATTGTCCCCAAGAACCTTTGATCGTTATTATATACTAAAGTGCTTTGCCTGTATTGATTATATGTTCTTTTAATATCTTATGTTAATCCGCTGATCGAGATTTTAAAACAAAATGGGGGAGGGGCTGTATTTTATATATTGTTATTCAAATAAATAAAATTAGTATGATACTAAGAGGCTAATACAAAAAAAAAGGAGAAAAAACCCAGCAACAGCATGATAAGCGGCATATTCATGTTAAAACAATGTTAATGCGGTATGAATTCTAACCCTGCTTTGACTAGACCGACAAGCTGAGCCGGATTTTTAGCATGCTAGTTCACAAGGTTTCATACTGCTGGAAGATATGTCACCCTACCTATACTCATTATTCTGACTCCAAGCTGATCAGCCTTTGCACAAGATCATGTTTTTCTCTGACTGTTCTTTACACTAAATCCATTGGATGTTGGATGTGTATTGATTGATTTTTTAGTCTTAGATACATGACATTTTTTATTAGTTGTTATTGGCTTTGAACTAGCTGTCAGTAACTGCGAGTACTCACAGATCTGTACTTGGTGTCTTTTTAGTTGTGGGGATTTATAAATACCCTGCCACGTCCAGTCTGAGTTTATGCTACTTTTTTATGATTTGTATCGATCTGATTAGTTAAGCATTTTTCAACTGATTTTTATAGATTGTTCATATGTTGTACTGTTACATCACTGTCCCAGGTTAGAGGAGGGATGGACGCCCGCTAACATGTTTAACCCCGCCACATTATGTATGTACCGGTATTAAGTCAGGAGACTGTTATTCAGTGGTCGTCGTTTGTTGAAGTATATAATATTTGTATTTCGTTCAATGTTTTTTTCATAAATCAGGCTGTTAATTTTCTCGTTTGAATTGTTTTACATTTGTCATTTTGCGGCATTTTACAGCTGACTATGCTGTATGGGGTTTGCTCATTGCTGAAGGCCGTACGGCGACCTATAGTTGTTAACTTCTTTGTCATTTGGTCTCTTGTGGAGAGTTGTCTCATTGGCAATTATACCACATCTTCTTATTCTTATATTTGCCCTTACTCCTTAATGCGTCGTAAAGTCAACTATGAATGGGCCCAACCTGATAGTAATTACTTATACTTAATTGCTATTCCGTCGGATTGTAACGAATGCTATATGTATAGCTAACCTTGACAACCACTACATAATACAAACACGGTTTACTAAAAAGCTTTTAATATAAATAAAAGGAGACGTTTACATTTGTTTATGTCTTCAATGTAACATAACAAGAATGTGGTAACTGTTGATTTCTTTGTCCTCTCAGATATATCAGATATCACTTCGACGCCTTTCTTTCTTTTGCAATAATTATTATCACTAGAAGCCCACTGCAATGGAAATAACAAGCGTGTCGGCAGTCACAGCATCTAAAACAGACAAAATATAAACGAATTTGATGCAATCTCATGTGGTATCGATAACATTTCCAAAAAATTTTTTAGTTAAAATGAAAGTTATATCAATGTAAAACATAGCTGTCACTTAATTGAGGGTTTATGTTACACACATTCAATACATAATTGAATAATAAAAATACAGGGTCACATTAATAAATGCATATTCAGATGAATAATAGCAATCTCTCATTTGATTGGTTGATTGTTGTTTGATTAACGCCCAGTTGCAAATGATACATTCATATTAAGGAAGGGAACAAAATAACAATTAATGCATTAGGAAGTTTCTGCAAGGTAAAAAATAAAACGGGAAATTTTGACTTTCACTGGGAAATTAGGGATTGTTTTGTTTGGATCTAGAGCGTGTAGGGAACTTGTAGGGAATTTGTACCATGAATTAATAAGTCATATATCGATATAGGAAGATGTGGTATGAGTGCCAATTAGACAACTCTCCATCCAAGTCAAAATTTATAAAAGTAAACCATTATAGGTCACAGTACGGTCTTCAATACGGAGCCTTGGCTCACACCGAACAGTAAGCTATAAAGGGCCCCAAAAATTACTATATATATTATTGTAAAACCATTCAAACGGGAAAACCAACGGTCTAATATATATAAAAAACGAGAAACGAGAAACACTTATGAACCACATCAACAAACGACAACTACTGAACATCAGATTCCTGACTTAGGACAGGTGCAAACAAATGCAGCAGGTTTAAACGTTTTAATGGTACCAAACCTTCACCCTTTCTCTGAAACAATAGTGTAACATCACAACATAGAAAGACACACTATAAAATATCAACTGAAATAGCTTAACTCAATCAAAGGACATATTAACACTATTGAACATACACTGAACAAATAAATTTGATCTATGATACAATGTAAATACAAAATCAATAAACTAAAGGAAGAATAATGAAAGTAACATGTTATACCGCTATGAAATGTTAATCAATTAAAGGAAAACAATATGCTCGAACAAAAATATCAGCCATTTGCAATAACTTTAAACATAGGTAAATGAAAATAATTTTGTTGTTAGGTATACGTTTACAGTTCCAATAGAGAAAGGAAATATTTTTACAAAATAAATAATTTTGATGTTCATAGTACGAAGTGAAAATGTATAGTAATACAAAACACTTATCAAAGCTGGTATATAGACCAGATATAACCCTGAATAACATTAAATAACAAAAAAGCAATACAATTAGTATCAACAGGTCAAATAAACAAGAAAGTACGATTTGAGAGTACTCGCAGTTACTGACAGCTAGTTAAAAGCCAAAACAATTAATAATAAATAATCATGCATCAGAGACTAAAATCAACTAAAACACATCCCAGGGATTTAGTATTTTAACGTCATGGACAGTCAAAGAAGACATGACTAGTGCAATGCCAAAAATAAATGTATCGACAGACAGTAGGATAGTTAGAAGTTTAACCTCTTTATAGATCAAAACGAACGTGGGTGTGTCTTTATACATATCTGTTTTCAATGAAATAGAATACGCGATCACTAATAGACTATATAAACAGTCAGAACGCCTATATCTTGTAATTGGCCGACTTATAATATCGTTAGTATCCGTTTCCGATGTCATGCTAAATGTTAAAATCTGGCGAAACGATGACAAACATATATAATACACACAAAGGTTGTCCTACATAGGGTTGTTGGAATTTCTTCCATTTACCTTTAACTCAATTCATATAAGAAATATTAAAGTAAAAAAAAAGGAAATGTAGATAAAAATTAAACTTGGAGTATTAAAATGTTACAAATAAAAGAGGCTTAAACGGGAGAATAAATAATTAAAATGCATACGAATGCATAAATGGATGTGGCTGAATAAAATGGTAAAAGTAATAATTACCTTTTGTCCAGTTTCGTTCATTTTTGGTGTACATAAACACCGGATACTTGTTGAACTGACTCCATTTACATGTATCCTTTCTTTCTTTTATACAAAACCAGCCATTATCATTTGCACATCCACCATAGTTTTTATTAATAAAGAACCTCCTTGCATTTATTGTTTGCCTGCAATATATTATACATGTATCATTAATAAAGAACCTCCCTGCATTATTATCCCTAAACTATATACATGTATCATTAAAGACGATTACTCAATCAAACATTTTAATGCATGCATTGCTGTAGATGATGAAACCTTTATTAAAGGTAGTGTAAAAATAAAACAAAATCCGTCGTCTGTACATTGATGGTGATTTAATAAATTGGGTATATATATATAAATTTCAGTTATAAGGTCTTTCCACTTTTCGTGGAAAGACCTTTTGTTTTTCTTCTGATTATTTTTTTTTCTTCTACCGTCTGAGATGCTTTTTTGTTTTACAACATATCGAAAGGATTTTTTGGCCAATGATGTCGTACAGTAATGGGGATTTTAAAACTCACCCTGTGTAACCGAACACTTATAGCAGTTATCTCCCCGCGTCTCATTTTTCTTGTTATCTTTATATCTCTGAAACCGTTAAAGATTTTAACAAACTGTTTTCACCAAATTGTTTGTCTGCTCTTAAGAATGGTTTGGTTAAATTAACTGATGTGATTGGATGACATCTTATGGGAGTTATTTCCCTTTGAAAATTTAACATAGGTGATATGTTGGATAAATTCATACATTATAAGTCATAGAGGCCTAAAGTATTTTGATATGAAGTCCTTGGTCCATTTGGAGGAAATTGAGGTCAAGGTCAAAGGTCAAGGTCATGTTCTAAATTTTAGAATTTGCTTGTTATCTTTATTCAAAAGAAACCGTAACAGTTAATGATATGATGTGTTTGCCAAATAATTGTTTACGATAGGGCGCAACTTCAACCCATTAAAGTCGAAGTGTTTTGGTCAACCCTCAAGGAGTTTTCTCCCCTGATGTATTTGAAATCAGTATTACTCCGCAATCATACACGTGAATGACCTGGGTTTTTTTTATTTGAGATCACTGACCTATGACCTTGAAATTGAGGTCAAGGTCAAAGGTCAATTTGACGTTCTAGATTTTGACCTTTGCTAAAAAAATTTACTGGTTCTTTATAAAACAATTAAGTCTTCTGCATTTGGTTGCAGATATTTCACCATTTATCAGGTCAACCGGAAATGACCGTATTTTAACCGGAAGTAGCCTATTTCAGACTAATCCTATGAAAAAGTATCAGAATTCTTATTTTTTAATATCAGTTTTAAATAACAAATTACCAGGAGTGACATTTTTCCAACACCGTTTTTTAAATTTCATTCTTTATTATCGAGGTGGAAAGACCTTCAATTGTTCTCTGAACAATTGGTTTTTAATATTGTATACTTATTTTGTATTTGTCAATTTGTCAACAACTTATTGTTAAAAGTTTATATGGCAATACACATTTGAATTTGAATACATTTATTTAACTTACTGATAAAAATCTTAAGATATTGGACTTATTGCCATATCTGTTTGTTTTTACGATATATATATATATATATATATACTAGAAAACACCCGGGTCCGTGACTGAATTAAAGTATCTAATTTTGTATAAGCCTTATTTTTAGCCTTGATTTTTAGTCTTGGTATCGTCATCTGATAAAGTCTGGCTGATTATAAGATGCGCGGGTTTCTCTGCTTTCAAAATCATTCTGTTTGAACCCGTCGACCTTGAACTTATTAATTAAGCATGCGCGAAAGCGTATAAGACATGGATCGATAACGGTCTCCGAATTTGGATATTTTCTAAAAAAATGACGTTTTCTGTGGAAAAAAAGATTGTTTCAAAGACAAATTTAGGAAGTACAAAATACTACATTTATACGTCATATCACAAATATTTCTGACTTTGTATGGTTTCAGAGGAGTTGCGGCTCAATGAAATCGGTCTCTTCCTTTAGTAGTATAGATATAGATTCTTTCATTGGTACCAGTACTAGTGGATTATCGGATTTTATCCAATCGAAATAGTTAATTTATCGAATTTTAAAGTCCGAGCCTCGGCGAGGACTTTATAAAACTGATAATTTTCACTATCAAGAATGGGTAAATCCAATAATCCACATGTATTTATGTAAGAATGTGCTTCTCTGAATGAATATCAAATAAAATTTCATTTTTGATATGCGAAAATCCCCCTAATCAAATTGAACTCTTTCTAAATTTTCCCTCCCTCCGCTCGTTACTGATGACCTTTGTTTTTTGCCTGTTGACCCAAACAGGAAGTTGTCTAAATGACTGTTTTTTCCGGATTAGACTAAATAGCGATAAGGTGTATTAGAGCAGGTAAACAAGGTCAAGTTGGTATAGATGAATTGATTATACGTCTGTTTCTATTGGCTTTAAAAGTTTAATGAAGGTGCATAATTTAGAATGTATGCAACCTATATACGTGTTTTTACTTCAATTATAGTATGGAGCTTCGAGATATTTGTTAACTTTTAAATTAACTAGAAAAAAAACGCGACCGCGGCTTGAAGACTACTTGAAATGTTTATGGTGATACACAGCTTGGGTTCGTGTTTCTCAAATTGTTTTTATGCATTGATGCATTATGTTGATAGTTTTTATAAGTTTGTCAGTTAGTTCTTCTTCCATAGGAGTTTGAATGTCCAACTGGTAGCTTCTGTCTCGGTGTTACACATGTGCTCCTAGAACGGAGGAAATAACTTAGTGAAGAAGAAAACCTAGAACACGAATGATTAAAACATTTCTCAGTGGTGCTAGTTTGTAGTATTTTTTTTCGAAAGGTGCGAGTCAAGTTCTGTCTCTGTGTGATACATGTGCTCCAAGAACGGAGGAAATAACTCAGAGAAGAAGAAGACAATCCAGAACTAAGAACTCTCTGATGATTTAAAACATTTCTTCAGTGGTGCGAGTTTGTTGTATTTTTTCGAGTGGTGCGAGTTCTGTCTATGTGTGACACGGGTGCTGCGAGGAAGGATAAATTTACTAAGAGAAGAGGAACACAATCTAATGATTAAACACATTTCTTCGAGTTTATTATAATATTTCTTTTTTTTTAGTGATGCGAGTTTGATAAAGTGATGCAAGTTGTAATTATAAGTGAGAGTGTTTGAGTGGTGCGAGTTGGCCGTAGGCCGAGTTGTCGGGCAGTACGTCGACAGAGCATGCGCGAAAGCGTATGAGACACGGATCGATAACGGTCTCCGAAATTGGATATTTTCTCAAAAATTGGCGTTTTCTGTGGAAAAAAGATTGTTTCAAAGACAATTTTAGGATGTACAAAACACTTCATTTATACGTCATATCACACATATTTCCGACTTTGTATGGTTTCAGAGGAGTTGCGGCTCAATGAAATCAGTCATTTCCTTTAGTAGTATAGAAGACAAATTTTTCACAAAACAGTCGATTGTGGAAGGTTTAAATACATGTGGATCTTTTTTATGCATAAGCATAAATTCAGCAGGTAAAAATTCCCCAGCAAGATAAAAGATTGATCTTTTTAAAGAATTAATTTGAATCGCTGCCCCCGGTGATAGTTTTTTGCGAAAAAAATCCTAAATATGGGCAATAATTTTATCGAAAAGGGAAAGTCGAGTACACCTTTTTATGTTCAGGCGTGTTTGAGTTGAATATTTTGTCTTGTAAACGTATAAAGCAAAAATATTTGATACATCATCTCGCTTCAGATTCTATTATTTTTATATAGTTAGGATACAGGTTGATATAGAACATTAAAAACTCACAGTACTAAAAAATGAAATATATGGGTCAAGTGAAATACCTTTCTAATGAGTCATAACAACAGAGTTGGTGTGTTTGAAAAACAAAATTTTACTGAAAACCCTTGACGACAGATTTTACAGGTGGGTCTTAAAAATGTATAACTTCAAAAAAAAAAAATCATTTTTTGTGTGTATTATCTAGGGTGATTTGTCTTCATCCTCTGAAAATTTTTAGTCTGCCCTTCCAAGAAATATTTATTTATAATTTTTATTTTTTATCTTGGAACTTTCGAAAATTCAGCCTGACAACCGATCTGACAGTAGTTAAGTTGACTAAAAGTCTAAAAGTACATTAAACGATGCTTAATAGCTAGTAGATACATTTATCATTTAAAATACAACTGTCATATAAGGATCGTAATGATGATAATTTATGTGGATAAATTCTTCGGTTTTCAAGAGCTAAATTTACAGCTTGTCATCTCTACAATGGCGTTCATTTTTGCGATTGAAAAAAATTGTTGGCGTAATGGGGAGATAATTTTGACGAAGTAGAATCCTGACTGACCTGTCGCACATTTTGATTCATCCAGTGAGGTGACAAATTTGATTATGACCCTTAAACTCATCCAATCATCTTCTGAGATCATCGGCAACCACATTCTGATTTTTTTTTATACAATGGGTTCAGAAAGGGTTCAATTGCCAAAGAATTAGAGAAATATATAATATATCTTTATAATGTCAAACCGTTGCAATTACAATGGTATACAGACAGTACATGATATCAATAAATACAGACATAAATACATGAATACACAGAGCAAAATATGTACACTATTCATCAACCCATAGCACAGCCAGCCCTTTACGTTCAGCTTGTGGCCGAAATGTCGGACAAGACAACTTTCAGCTTGTAGCCGCAAATGTCGGACAAGACAACCTTCAGCTTGTGGCTGGAAATGTCGGACAAGACAACCTGCAGCTTGTGGCCGGAAATGTCGGACAAGACAACCTGCAGCTTGTGGCCGGAAATGTCGGACAAGACAACTTTCAGCTTGTCGGACAAGATTTGTTAGATATAGTAACTTACCCAATAGCCGAGAAATAATTCGTTTTACTGCACGGTGATAAATCAGTGAAGCTACTTTGATAAAAGTTTTTCTTAGAAAACCAGTTGAGATTATCAGTATTCTGAGCATTGAAAGTCATCCATACGACTTGCACATCTTCCTTGTACAGTTCAACTTTAACCTGCAATATAAAAAAAACAAACAGAAATCTTGCTGCCAAATGTTTTACAAACGAAGTCGTACAAGTGTACATACGTACACAAATAATTCTTTCCAAAAAAAAATTTCTATGAAGAATTGACCGGTTGCAATTCATCTTTCATGTATTATCATTGTTTCAAACGTTCGATATATTTCAACCATTTATTTATTTTTATTATTGTTGATGGGTTACCGTCTCATTAACGTGTATTTCTCTTCCCCTTAGTACACTGATAAATGATATCGTATATTGAAAGTTAGAACTAAAAGCATACAAAATAATTCAATAAATGTAATCCCTTACCATTGTGATATGTGTGTCTGCCCAGTGGTCAATAATTGGATTACGTCGATGTTTAGCTTTGCCAACATTCTGGTAGTTAGGTAGATCGTTACACAATGATTGTGATTTCCAAGAATCGTAAACTGACATTTCATTCTTTTCATAAGCAACAAAAACGGGAACCCATACTACAAATGTATGAATTATAATGTTATAAAGTCAAGCAGTGAAAAAAAGAATATGCTAAAGATGTAATCACAATATATATGATAAAATGAAAAAGATCGCAACGACAAACAACAGTCAGCTAAATCTTTAAAAGAGAGCTAAAGATTAAGCATTACGATAACATCAATAATCGGTAAGTTCCAACTTTCGTCTCTTGTCTTTAGCTCCCCTCTTAAGTTTCAAATGTTTTTTTTTATTAGAATAAGCTATTTTCTATTAAACTGACATAATTGCAAAAAATACGATATTCCTGATGCAATATGTTCAAACTTCAACCTGTATTGTACATATGTATGAATGTTTTCAAGTACACAAATGTACAAAGTATGCGTAAGAAACATTATTAATAACAACACAATCTATTTTATAAACTAGTTATATTCGTAGTGACAAGCGCTGTTTTATAATTTAGTTTTCTTACCAATGAATTTTCATAACTTCATTTTTCTACCCTTATTATTAAAACTTACAAGAACTCTCTGTTACAGAAACTAGGAGGACACAGTATGTTACTAAAACATTAAAGCCTATCATTTCGTCGTCAGTTGTTTATATCAACCTAAGCACACAGTTACAGTATCCGTACGGTATTTTATATAACATTATATTATGACGTCATATTACCCCACTCCAAAATATTGTTAAAAACATATTTTTAATGAATAATATTTCCGAGAAATCCTGTTGTAGTTTCTATCCTTTAAATCCTGTTGTGGCTTTACATGTCAACTATTATGTTAGTATTACGTATCATTTCTATCATTTACATACAGAACGCAAATGATGGATAGTCGTCTCATTGGCAATCATACCACATCTCCTTATTTTTATATCATGACAGTTTTTCTTGTGATTTATAGTTTTTATACCTTTTAAAAGTATTTTTTACAGAGGTAATAGGTTACACATCTGTGTCTCAGGGAAACATTATTTGTATTTTTTTAATTATTACTGCATTTTATCTATTATTTACTCGAACTTAAACTTAATTAATAATGTGTGTTTGTTTGTATATTTGTTTATTTATTCATTATTATGTTTTAATGTTTTTATGTTTATTTATCTGTGTTTGTTTGTTTGTTTGTTTGTTTATTAATTATTGTTTACTTGTTCACAATCCTTTCTTCATTTCACCGATCGAATAAAAAAAGCATAAGGTTTAGAACGCAATTCACTAGTTTATTCCAACAAAATATTGTTCCGCCTGTTTCAAGTCACTTAGTTACTGATCACTAATCAGTGTCATTATTTATCTATATTTTTATCATTTGTCCATTTTTCCGATGTCAGATCTCTAATAGCGTGTCCTTTGAATGTCCTGGACGTTAAGCAAGCATTTAACAATTAATCAAGCTATTGTTTAAGACCGCATTTTGATTCTATATGTAGTTTTGTATTGTTTACCATTAGTATTGTATAAATCCTGTAAACCCCACATATCCTTTTATTCTTATGAAAGATTTCTGCAATTCTCAGCATAATGAAGAAAATGGGGGGAAATCAAAAACCAGAACTCAAAGAAAGACAGACAACAAACTAAATGAAATTAGACCAGCAGACAAATACAGTTCACAAAACCTTACACAGAAAAATGAAGGAATAAAACACTTTAAAACTGGGACTGGACCCAGTACACCGACAGATCTCGAAGCTGAAAATTAATTTCATTGCTTTTTGTGTTTATTTTTGCTGTACATATACTGATTTTGTGTCATGGATGGATACCCCATATCATTTATTTCTATTATTTTCATCAACATCTTTATTATAATCTAGAGTAAAAGTGTATTTTACGCCTGGCTTAAACATCTGGACGGAAAACAAATGTTAGAAATTAGAGGATCAGAGTATCCCAATTATCCGACATTCATCTTTCATATAATGATTAATATATACATTGTAGAATGCAAGGAATCTCCAAAAATATTATACACATTACAACAAACCAAACCTGCCACCAACTACTGTGAAATAAATAGACATTACAACAAACCAAACCCACCACCAACTACTCTGAAATAAATAGACATTACAACAAACCAAACCCGCCACCAACTACTCTGAAATAAACAGACATTACAACAAACCAAACCTGCCACCAACTACTCTGAAATAAAAAAAAAAGACATTACAACAAACCAAACTCACCACCAACTACTCTTAAATAAATAGACATTACAACAAACCAAACCCACCACCAACTACTCTGAAATAAATAGACATTACAACAAACCAAACCCACCACCAACTACTCTGAAATAAATAGAAATTACAACAAACCAAACCCACCACATACAACTCTGAAATAAATAAACATCACATCAAACCAAACCCACCACATACTACTCTGAAATAAATAGACATTACAACAAACCAAACCAACCACCAACTACTCTGAAATAAATAGACATTACAACAAACCAAACCAACCACCAACTACCCTGAAATAAATATACATTACAACAAGCCAAACCTACCACCAACTACTCTGAAATAAATAGACATTACAACAAACCAAACCTGCCACCAGCTACTCTGAAATAAACAGACATTACAACAAACCTAACCCGCCACCAACTGCTCTGAAATAAAAAGACATTACAACAAACCAAACCCGCCATATGCCGGTTTCCAGTCTAAATCCTCGTCATTTGTTGTCTTGTATGGTAGTATTGAAGTGCAAAAAATGGTATCTATTATACTTTGCTAAAATTTAGTTTATATCAAGGTATTTTCAAGGCGTAATTAAAAGTATAGACATTAGGTTATCGTTCGTTCGTGTATCAAATTACGCTTCTGTGCAAAATTCTCAAAAAAAAAAAGAAAATTATTCACATAGTACAATTATGAAACTTCACGTAGAAAGAAAACTACAAGATAGAATTTTGAGATAAAAATATGAGAGTATTTAATATTAAGCGCTATCAGGGTTTAAAAAGAGAAAATGGGGTGAACGTCCTCGTTTTATAGTTACAATACAAAATTTGACATTTATTTACAGTATATTCTTAAATGAATCATAATTATTTAAAGTATAATACTTCCTTGTAAACCAAAGTGCTCACATATTAAATCAATAAAAAAATCATGCATTTGTACAAACAGATTTTAGAAGAAAATTGTATGAATTTTCGATTATTTTTGACAAGTTTGCAAAAGCTCCCATACTTATTAAAGACTTACTTTTTGTTTTGTCACTAGGCTTAGGAATCTTCGATTTAATGGCCGATTTTTGAAACGGTTCTTTTTACTCCAACTTGATGGATCCCCAAAACTGCTTTGATACAAGTTTTTCTTGGAAAACCAGTTAATGTTATTTGAATTTCTTGCATTAAATGTCATCCAAACTACTTGTCTATTCTTTTGGTAGAGTTCAACTTTAACCTTGAAAGAAAAACATTTAAATCGAGTAACAATGCTTTATGGGGGAAAGGGGGGGGGGGGGATGGGGAGGGGGATTACGTTTCGATGGATTTGCGTTCTCTATATAACTAAGTGTTGGTAACAGACATTTGTCAAATCAGTTTGACTTAACCAGAACAACATGGAAACTTTGGGATTTATATTCAGTTAGCCATGCCGTATATGTACTTGTTTATTGCAGGTGAACGTATTAATTTGTCGCTTTAAGATGTCCTTTGGTTTCTGTCTACTTGGGGTGTACCATTTATTTGTACAAGTATCTGTAACCATTGCTCGCAAATAATTTTATTTGAATTGTTCCAGTAAGTTTGGTGTTATCATAGGTACAAATGTTTTTTTTTAATTATAAAGACACATGTTTTAATAAACTTTATATTTCACTTATTATTCATGCCCCCAGTCGTAGTATATATTCCTTAGTTTACGAAAAGATCTAATTTATAAATGTCTTCATGGGTAGCTGTTTTGTTAATCTTTTGTAGGTGACGTTGAGAAACATATTTTTTTCCTTTTATGAATTTGCAAGATATTCTTCAATTCTATTATGATACAGCATGTATACACAAATATGATCTGCTTTGTAGATAAAATACATGAAATATCATATTGACATTAATTTTATCATAGTCAATACACATATTGAAATGAAGCCGTCGATAGAATCATATTACAGAAGTATACAATCATGTAACAGACGTGAAAGTGCGTGTTCTAGGTCTGTTATTTATTTTCATATTTCAGTTTAGATACAAAAAATGCCCTCACTTCCTGGAGTTTTTAATATAATCTTCCAAACAATGATCGAGCTAAAGAAATTGTTCAAATTAATGATTTATTGTAGAAACAGCCTAAGTATTAATTGCAATTTTTCTGATGTGGTTATCTATCTAAAATGATTTGAAATATTTATTTAAATAAATAAAATATGGAAAATGTGGTATGATTGCCAATGAGACAACTATCCACCAGGGTCCAAATGACGTGAATGTTAGCAACTAAAGGTCACAGTACGGACTAAAATTATAAGCAAACCCTTACCATATGGCCCCGACATTACAACATGTGAAACAATTCAAATGAGAAGACTAAATGTATAAAGGGTTAATTTTAAACATGTTTGTGATGACAAAACCATCCCCTAACCTCTTTTACCCCCGCTCCGAGGAAGGGTAGTATTCTTTTTTACCCTTGTATATCAATTCTGTCGTCATTCAGTTTGTTCGCCTTTTCGTTCATCCGTCTATCCATCTAATGAAATATCCGTCAAATTTTTTTTAAGGATCTACAAATCAGAGCTGCCTGAAATTTGTACCTGGTAACATGTAAACAGTCTAAGTATTAATTGCAATTTTTCTGATGTGGTTATCTATCTCAAATGATTTGAAATATTTATTCAACTGAATAAAATATGGGAAATGTGGTATGATTGCCAATGAGACAACTATCCACCAGGGTCCAAATGACGTAAATTTTCATCTGATAAATATGTATAGCCAAATTGCTCTGTATTTGTTTGACTCATAGGA